GGTCCCCCGCGGGGGGGGGGGGCTCGCCGGCCCAGCCGCTGGCTGGAAGCACGAGCGGGGGCCGAGCCGAGAGGGCACCCTGGGGGCAAGGGGGGCACCCCAGGCTCCCCCCCCCACCTCCATAGCCAGAGAGCAGGCTTTTCTTTATTGACTGTAAAGCAACTTTCTATAGCTGGTGACCAAGTTCTCCAATAACAGCTGCCAAAAGCAATCAGGCTGGTTCACAACAGAGGGAGGAAAGTTATGTTATTTTAATAGAAATTATTTGGTTCCCGGGGTTCTGATCAAATTAGGCAGCTACTGAGTTAAAGCAATGAAATTACTGGGAAGGAGGCTGTGCTCAACTTATTTCCAGTCCTCCTGGACCTGAAGAAGTAACAAAGGAAAACGTCCAAACCGCTCCGAGGAGTTTTCTGTAAACACCCTAAGCTGATATTTGGGGAAGTGGGGACTTCTGCCTGCCACTCACAATTTCCTAATCAGCCCAATATCCGACGGGCTCAGGCCATCCCCTGCGCAGCAGATTTGGCATCCTTGGAAAAGGAGGAGAGACTGAAGCTTGCGCAGCAGATGCTGCTCCTTTGATTTGCAGCACAGCTCAGGCGCGATGAACGCTTTCGTTTCCAGCTCTGCTTGCAAACCTGTCAGATTCGAGCTCCTCTCTGCACCCTGCATGCCCGCCCTCATCTTTTAACAAATGTTTCTTTAGTGCAAATTCAACTGTAATCATATCTAGAATTGAAGGAATAACAAAAATACAGGAGGCGTACATCACTCCACAGTGGGCTAAGAGGAGACCGACATAACAGGGATCTTGGGCAAGGATGCGGGGGGCTCAGTATTAATACATGTAAAATCCAGCCATGGGGAGAGGAGATGAAGGGTGCAGAGCCAGAGCTGAGGGTGAGGAGGGAAATGGTGCTGATGCTTATCGTGCCCTGGTAGCACTGCCCTGGCGCTGGGTGCACCTCCTGGATCCCCCAGGACGGGAGGTGGAGAGCACCCGGCTGCACGCACCGAGGGGACGATGCATGGCCTGATCCTGCATGGGAAGGAGGCATCTTCTGCACCCTC